TACAACAATAGTGTTGCAGTAAATGGTTGGAACCCTGGGGTAACATGTGAAAGTGTAGTGTGATCGTCCGGGTGAGTGTAATCCTGAGAAGGACTGTTGCCGGTTGTAGTGACTGACGCTGTAGGTTAGGCATTGCGCAGAGTCCCAGTCAATATAATGGTTCGTAAGTCGACGATGTTTAGCAATGTGATTGTTGACATCACTTTTCCTCGTCGCCCGTCTGTGTTCAGGCAGTCTTTTGCCAGGTTTCTTCCGGTCTCTCCGATGTAGGAGGCTTGGCAGTCTGAGCAATTGATCTTATAAATCGCTCCCTGTCTGTTCCTCGGTTCGTCCTTGTCTTTAACATTGGTTAGTAACTGACAGTGTCGGTGGTGATGGGTTTGTGGGCGACGCGGATATTGAAGTGTTTTTTTCTCTAATTTTTTCCTAATCCATTTTCACTGCATTACCGCAGTAGAGTAGGACTAGAACGGAACATACACGATCCATGCGAGTAGTCCACCCATTAAATCCCACCCATCCCACACCCCCCCCAGGGGTTTACATCCATCACACAGTAATCTCGTGCGTGGAAAATTAAAGTCTCCTACCCCTAACCCTATAGGAGACGGGACCTCCATTTATTCGTCGCTATCCGTGAAGACTAGAATATCTAACAATTTCTTGATGTTATAGGAAGGTAGATGCGCGAGATGTTCTCAGACATTCCTTTTATATACGGTATGGCTGCTGTAGTCGTAGGAGTTTCGGTGTCGTTTGTTTCGGTAATGGTAGTGGGTCGGTGAGTGTTTCGTCGGATGAAGTCGTCGTTGTAGTTGTTCTTTGAAAAAACACGGTGAAGGTATTTCTCCTCGTCGGATAAGCTGTCAGTCGAGTCGTATACTAGTTGCGCGGGTCCTCTTAGAGTTCTAATAGTTGTGGCGTATGGTTTTTATGCGTTATCTGATCTAAGAAGTGAGAAAAAGAAGAAAACAAGCAAGCCATACAGTTGCCTGAACTGACTGTTAACCTCTCCGGTACTGTTCGTAGTTCATTAGTAAAAAACCAAGCCAATGTACCACATTAGACTGTCGAAAAGAAGAGAAATGTCATAGTGTTAAAAGTAAATAAAGAAATATAGAACAAGGGATAGGGACAAGGCTAAATCTGTACCGAGGTATTCCTCGTGATCCTCAAAACTATCGTGGGATTCCAAGAAGTGTAATTCAGAAGCTCTCTCGACGTCACTAGCGCTATTGTCACTTTCAGAGGCAATTTACGTTCTCTCTGCATTAGGCTAGTTTCGAATTGTTAGTGCGGGAAAGTCTGGTAATTAGTTTTTAGCACCAAGACGAGGCTGAGGGGAATAGAAGTCGTCTCAGCTTGGCAGCGAACCATGTCAACTTTGCCGATATGAAAGTATCTGAGCTTCAAAAGTTTTTAAGAGAAAGAGATATTCAAATTTCTATTAACGCTAAGTGTAGGAGAAGAGCAGAACTACTGGAGCTATGTAAGAATGGAGCGGAAATAAAAGTTCCAAAATTGAAGAGGAATCAAACAAACGCGATGAGTTGATTAATTCCAAGATAACACTGCCAGGAGGAAAATTACTTCTTCATCCACTTTTGCTCAAGGATTGGACTCATGACTTTACTGGTGTTCCAGACTTCAGGTTTCCTGATATTTACCATTATCTTGTTGGAAAAGATGGCTACGATGAAGACTGTTTACGTTGGTACAAAAGTCTCGAGGGTTTTCGCTTGTTTGTGGACGGGCATGTGGAGGATCTGAACTTCCACGATTTAAGTGAACAGGTAAAAAAGATGGATACTGTTATTTCCAGTTCAAAGTAAAACCTACTGAAAGGTCCAAAACCGAAGATGGAAAAGACTTCTACTGGGGTTTTATCGTTCTTCAATATACTGGAAGCATTTACTCTGCCTACTGTGCTTGCAAAGGCGGGTGAGTCATGTGTGTGCCATATTTTTTCCTTTTCCTTACAAGCGAATGAACTGATGGTTTTTTACTTTTTAATGTTTTATTTGATTTCTGTGCGAATGAACTCGGACTCTTTAAGGTAT